TGGGCTTCAAGAAGCGAGCCCATATAGACTGGTTTGACAAGAACAACGGTGCCATTGAAGATCTGCTTGCCACAAAGAACAAATATTCATGAACTGGCAGAATAACCCAAACAACATCCCCAAATAAGACCGCTTTAAATCCTATCAAGCTGAGGCTCAGACAAAAATCCGCAAGATACATGACCAGTAGTGGGAAAGGAAAGCTGATGAAGTGCAACGGAATGCCGACACTAACAACACCAAAGTGTTTTACGGCGCCATCAAGTCAATCTTCGGCCCTTAAAAGTCTGGCTTTGCCCCCTTGCTTGCTGCGATGGCAGTACACTAATAAAGGACTAAACTGGCATTAAGGACAGATAGAAAAAGCACTTTAGCTAGCTCCTAAACATGCCCTCATCGGTCAGCCAATCTGCTCTTGACCAAATACTCCATCAGCCAACGCAAGGACAACTGTATGCTCCGTCAACAATAGAGGAATCGAGGATGGCCATTAAACAAATGAAATCTGGCAGGGCATCTGGAAAGACTGGCATCCCAGCGGAAGTTAGCAAGGCTGTCAGTAAACAGACCCTAGAGACATTCCACGAATCGGCATCTGGACTGATGAGGAAATGCCAGACGACCTCCGCGACACATCAAATGTGACCCTCTATATTAATAAAGGCACACGTGCGGACTACAGAAACTACAGAGGCATCTCCTTACTATCCAGAGCGGGCAAAATAAGTGTTTGCATCATTCTCAACAGACTTATTATGGCAGTGTCAGAAGATAACCTCCCCGAATCTCAGTGTGGTTTTTGCCCAGACCTCAGCACCGTTGATATGATCTTCGCAGTGAGACAAGTCCAAGAGAAGTGCCTTAAGCAGAACATGAATATGTATGCCGTCCTCGCTGACCTTACGAAGGCATTTGATACCGCTAACTGAGACGCACTGTGGGTAGTACTCAAGAAGCTTGGTTGTCCTCAGAAGTTTACCAACTTTATCCGGCTCTTCTACGATGACTTCATCCGGTTCTTCCATGATAACTCTTCTTCAAGCAGGTATTGCTCCACACCATCAGTGACATTGACCTTCGTATCTACATTAGATATCGCCTGGATGGATAATTGTTTGATCTCCATCGCCTAGATGAAAAACCAAGACGCTAGAAAGACTCATCACTGAAGCACTCTTTGCATGACTATGCCATCATGGCCCATGAAAAAGACTCACCTACAGATAGTTATAGATAAGTTCTCGGGAGCCTCCAATCTGTTTAGAGTCACAATTCGCCTAAGAAAGACAGAAGTCCTCTTCCAGCCCACCCCAAATATTGTCCCTGAACAACCCTGCATCACCATCGGTGATACGCAGCTGAAGAATGTGGACAGTTTCAAATACCTCGGCAGCACATTATCCAGTGATGGCTTCCTGGATAAAGAGATTAGTCAAAATATCAAAAAAACGCCAGCTAAACACTGGAACAACACCGGACCAAAGTCTTGCAGCACAAGGATATACGCCTGATCTCAAAAATAAAGGTGTGCAATACATTTTTCCTCACGTCTCTCTTATATGGCTGTGAAACGTGGACTGTCTACCGAAGGCACATCAGTCAGTTGAAACAATTCCACCAGCGTTCCTTGGGATCCATCATTCAGATCAAGTGGTAGGACAGAATATCCAACCAAGAAGTCATTGATATAGCCAGTGCAACAAGCATCGAAACAAAACTAATCCAGGCCTAGCTTCGTTGGACTGGCCAAGTCATCCACAAGGATCAAAAAAGACTCTCAAAGCAGCTGTTCTTTGGCGAGCTAGCCCAGGCCAACCGAAACATCGGAACTTGGACGCCGGAGCCATTTACGCACATGTGCGTACAGAAAGACTACCAAGAATATATATATATATATATATATATATATATATATATATATATATATATATATATATATATATATATATATAGAGGGTTAAGACAGCAAATGTTATTATTCAGTACGGGAGCAATTGAAGTAAAGTGCCTCGTCCGCATGGCAGTAGCCGACCTGGGATGATTCCACGGTGGGATTTGAACGGACACCCTCGGCCGTGGACGGACGAGCAACACTATTTCTTGCATGGCTTAGTTATGAAACCGCTTACTGACAAAGAATAACAAGATCAAATGCGACCGCACCAGTGGCTAAGTGGTTAGAGCATCCGCCTTGGATGAGGGATGTCGTGGGTTGGATCTCAGAGTCATATCAAAGAATTACAAAAATGTTACTTATAGCTGCCTCAGTGTTAGGACTGATCGGCCTGGTGTCAGGATAATGTGGCTGGGTGGAACATCATTATACATGTCTGTGGCATGATGCCCCTGTGCTAGACATCACTATTAACTGCCACACTAAATATATTTTAGCGATATGATTGAAAGTTGTTAAAGCTATGTTAAAAATTCAAATCACTCACACGTACGGACATATTTACACCCGCACACACACATGAACAATTGCACAAGAACTACCTATAAATCCTAACTTTTCTAGGTATTCGAAATTCTATAATCCCGGTAAATCTATTAATAAATGGGATTAACTCTTGCCTAAAATTCCATATACATGTACGACACTAATAAACGGCTGTAAGGTCATCTCTACATGACAATGCGAAATTCAGTTGTTTGATCTAAACACCAGAAGTTTCTGTGGGGTACTTTTTTTATTTTCAGCATTCAAATGCTCATTGCCCATTTGCTTTATCAGAAACGTCAACGCACTCATTCCTATTAGACATTTCTATAAAGGACATTTGTTTTTTTAAAGATACATTAAGAAATCTCAAAAGGAAATTAATATATGACTGTCTTTTTATTGATGTGGACAAAGGAAAATTGTTTCTGTAGTTTCTCATTGCATATAGGTGCCTATAATAATGCAATACATTACAAATATGGATTTAGTCATAGAATATATATTCTGAAAACCTGTTCACTTATCTAGTTATCTAGGTTTAAATACATATTACGAACATGTTTATCGTGTGTGTCTAAACGCAGAATATGTCTCTATTTTGTAAACACTTGTTCGCTTGTTTCAGTTAACTTGGCAGGTTGTAATGTACCTTATCAATATTTTACTGTGCATGTCTACTCGTAGAATCTCCTATCTAAATCGTTAACGTATTTAAACAATCTAGATCAGAGTACATAACATGAACGTGTTTATTAAGTATGTCTTAATAAACATAACTTCCATAGGAAAAGACCATTTCGTATCGCAGCGAAGTAATTTATAAACAGATGTACAAAAAACTACAGGGAAACTTCTGGAAAGTTCTTTATTAAAAGGAAACCTGATTGTAAAAGACAAAATTGCAGCGACTCTTGTCTGACCCTTAGTTTCGACATGAATAATTGACCTTTGGCGGACCCTTAGTTGTGACATGAAACATTGACCATTGATGGACCCTTAGTTGCGACATTAAGAAATGACCATTGATCGATCCTTGTTTGCGACATGAGGCACTGATCCTTCAGCGATCAATTTTTGTGACATGAAACACTGATCCTTGATCGACCTTCAGTTGTGTAGAACTTTTATCTACCCATTTGTGTGACATGATTAACTGATCCTTGATCGATCCATAATTGTAACCATAACTGGTTTGAAGCGATCTTATAACAATGTCTACAATACTACTACTACTACTACTACTACTACTACTACTACTAATGCTACTACTACTACTACTACTACTACTACTACTACTACTACTACTACTACTACTACTACTAATAATAATAATAATAATAATAATAATAATAATAATAACAAGAATAAGAAAAAGAACAAGAACAATAATAAACAGTAATAAGTTGCTGATGAATATGCAACAGAGCAAAAAAATGGAAGTTTTCTAAACATTTTGAAAATAGTTTAATTAAACAGGCTAAAATTGATGACATTAAAATATAACTTAGTATACAATATTTTATTTTACAATTTTAAGTTAAGGGCGAACTCTTGCTTTCTTTCTGTGTTACACTTACAAACTGGTAGCAAGAAGAAAAGGTTTGTAAAACATTGCAAAGTTGCCAGTAAAGCACACAGATCATAAGGCCAGTGATAAAAACGTCATATATACAAGCAATCAATTTGATCAAACCAGGCGTTGGACATTGCGCCTAACCAGTTCCAATCGATTACTGTGCCCATTTATAAGTTGAAAGATTAAATGTTACTCTTGTACAATGTTACACACTAATTTCGATTTCCATGCCAAGATAAATAAAGTCCCTTATCAAATTTTAGTATGTGGTTAAACCTGCTTATAACATGTTCTAAGAGACCAATGAATTTGTTTTCGCTAAAATCGATTCGGTTACAACAGGAAATTCGCATCTGAATAATTAATTAACTTCGAGTTTATCAGAAACGGTTTCTGTAATGTCTATGTTAATATATGATGTAATTTAGCAGAAAAGTATTAAATTATAGCAAAACGTGTCGTACATAATTGGTAATCAGTAATATTACAATATGAACGTTTTTCTCAGTCAGGAAAACAAAATATTTAGTTCAGCTGTACCATTTACGATTGCAATAAGTAGTGCCATTTTACTGGGATAATTAAATGTGTGAGTTTTTTAATTAAAAATAGTAACACAACATAGATGAAATCGCTATTTCCTAAGCTTCAAACTATTTTTGCCATTGCTCTTAATCAATCTCCAAAGGCCGTAGAGAGCGATCAAGGGCCCTGGGGTAAGAAACACCACCCTGGCCTCTCCTAGTTCGTATTCAAACAAAATATTTTTTTTTATAAAATTAAGGAGTGTTGTTTGGTCCGGGCCGCCTTACGGGCCAGGCCCCGTGGATATATCCCAGTTGCCCCCCTCCCTCTGCCCACGTTGGCCATGGTGATTCCCCCAGATTTTGTTTAACTGTATAGGGGAAATCTAGCTGTAGAATACAAAATGTGTTCGCGTTATTAATGAAATATCAAGAAAATGCATATATTTACATCTCCGGTGGCCTAGTGGTTAGAGCGTTTGCCTCGGACGCGGAAGGTTGCGGATTCGAACCCCGGCCGATTCATACCAAAGACTTTAAATAAAGGTACTCGCTTGGCAGTCAGCATTAAGAGGTTAATGTTAGGACTGGTCGGTTTGGTGTTAGAATATGTGAATGGTTGGAACATCATGCTACATGTTCGCCTCAGATGCGGGAGGTCGTGGGTTGATAGCCGGTTGAGTCGTACAAAAGACTTACAAAAATGGTACTAACAGCTGCCTCGCTTTACGCTCAGCATTAAGAGGTCAGTATTAGGACTGGTCGGCCTGGTGTCAGAATAATGTGACTGGGTGGGACATCATGCTAAATGTTTGCGGCATGATGCCCCAGTGATAGACATCACTATAAACTGCCACACTACAGACATTGTAGCGATATGACTGAAAAATTGTTAACGCTACGTTAAAAATCAGCATCACATCACATCACATCACATCACATGGTGTCCCAGTGCTAGATACGACTATAAACCAGGGGTTACCAACCTTTTTGATAGTGAGAGCTATTTCATGGGTACTGAGTCATACGAAGGGCTACCAGTTTGATAGTGAGTGCTACTTCATGGGTACTAAGTCGTACGAAGGAATACCAGTTTGTTAGTGAGAACTAATTCATGGTTACTAAGTCATACGAAGGAATACCAGTTTGATAGTGAGAGCTACTTCATGTGTACTGAGTCAAACGAAGGGCTACTAGTTTGATAGTGAGAGCTACTTCATGGGTACTGAGTCATACGAAGGGCTACCAGTTTGATAGTGAGTGCTACTCCATGGGTACTGAGTCATACGGAGGACTACCAGTTTGATACGGAGAGCTACTTCATGGGTACTGAGTCATACGAAGGGCTACCAGTTTGATAGTGAGAGCTACTTTATGGGTACTGAGACATACGAAGGACTACCAGTTTGATAGTGAGAGCTACTTCATGTGTACTGAGTCATATTAAGGGGTTCCAGTTTGATACTGAGAGCTACTTAATGGGTACTGAGTCATATGAAGGGCTACCAGTTTGATACTTAGAGCTACTTCATAGGTACTGAGTCATACGAAGAGCTACCAGTTTGATAGTGAGAACTAATTCATGGTTATTAAGTCATACGAAGGAATACCAGTTTGATAGTGAGAGCTACTTCATGTGTACTGAGTCAAACGAAGGGCTACTAGTTTGATAGTGAGGGCTACTTCATGGGTATTGAGTCATACGAAGGGCTACCAGTTTGATAGTGAGAGCTACTACATGGGTACTGAGTAATACGAAGGGCTACCAGTTTGATACTGAGAGCTACTTCATGGGTACTGAGTCATACGAAGGGCTACCAGTTTGATACACTCTTCGGAAATAACAAATTTGCTTAGTTTGCCTTTATACATTATTAATAAACTGCGCCCGCTAGCATAATCTCCACGAGCACTGTATTGACACACGCACAATACTGACATTCGAACTGGAGTACGTCAGATCACGTTAATGATTTCTCACAATTATTAACAACAATGACAAGGTGGCGAAAGATATATCAACATTCAACACTTTATTTCTATTTATCTCAGTAATTGTTAAATTTTCAGATGATCACTTACATTACATTTCGTAGAAAAATGTCCCACTTTCATTAGCCGCTGACAAACCTTTTAAACAAATCATGAATTATGTTGCACAATGTTTCAAAAAGTTATCAATTACGTACATTATAATGTCTGTAATGTAGTGAAGAAAAAAAAAACTCAAATATTTTTTTTAAAAATCTTGTCACATTTTGAACTAATGACCAAATCTGCTGTATTTTTAACAAAATAATAACTGTTACATATCATAAACACACATTTTAAATTGAACAGTTCTTCAATATTTTAATTAAATTTTGCCATGGTACTGACATGTTGCCACTGACACCTGGTATCATTTTCTTTGTTAGTGGGAAGACTGGCATTGCATGCTGTTTTCCATTTTATCTGGTAATCTGGTGTGTAACTTAACACTGCAACTGTAACTCTTTCAGATGTGCATCAGTGAGGCGTGTTTTGGGCTTGTTCTTGATGAAGTTCATGTCAGAAAATGCTGATTCACATAGATAGGTAGAACCAATCAGGCTGGCAACCTTCATTGCTGCTGTACACACACCACTGTGCTTCTCTGTGTCAACAAGGCACCAAAAGTTTGGTGCAGCCTGGTAGGCTATGAGATGGAGGTCATTTTGCAAAGTTATGATTTCAATCTCCAGCATCTAAGTTGAACGTTGTACTTAGATGCTCAGCAAAACTTGTTGTGTCCACATTCATGAAAGGATTGGAAATGAATGATAAACATGGTTCAAGCTGATCAAGGTCACAAAACCTATTCTCAAACTCTCGCCCAAGTCTGTTTATGACTTTACTTGTCTGCAACTTTGTCAAATGTATCAGATGCAGAAGCATTGTCTTTCAGCATTGACTACACAGAGAGAAGGTGCAGCACCTTTTGTCTCTGTATATCCACATAAAAATGTTAATTTTGGCTTTAAATGCATTTAAATCACTTATCATATTAACAACAGTCTTGCCTTTATCTTGCAGCTCGCAGTTCAAGTGGTTTAGGTTCCCAGTAATGTCCGTCAAAAATGCAAGGTCAAGTGTCCACCCTGTGTCTTCTAGCAGTGAGACGTCTTCACCTTGGGACTACATGAACTCTTTGATGTGACAAAAAACGAAGTAAAACTCGACCTCTGCTGAGCCATCATATTTCCGCGTGCAGTAGCAGATCACCATATTCAGCTGCCGTCTCCTCCAATAGCACTTTGAAAATCCTGTGCTGTGTTGCTTTGAAACGGATATTGTTTATGATTTTTACAAGGGGAGTCATCACGTGCCCAAAGACGATCACTTTGGCACACAGAGCCTGCTAGTGAATGATGCAGTGGTAATGCATAACTTTTGGGAAGTCTGACTCACCTTTACAGCGAGCGATCAACACCTGCATGTCGGCCCATTATAGCAGGAACCACATCTGTGGTCACCTCTACCAGTTTTTCCAATGGTAGCTTTTTCTGCACGAAAAAAGATCCCCTTCACTGTGTTATAAATGTCAACTCGTATCGTAGTTGTCTTTATGGGCAGTAGTGTCAGTTCTTCTCTTGTTGATAAATCTTCAAATACCATCCGGATAAAAACCATCAGCTGCGCAATCCTATTGCTGTCCACTGACTCGTCCCACTGGATGCTAAACCACCTGCACCTCCACAGATCCCGGTCCAGCTGATCGACCAAGTTACTGGACACAGCTGACACTCGTCTAGTTGGACGTTGGAGAGAGTGGATTTACATCGGTTCATTATTTCTCATCTTTAAGTACAGTGTTAGCATTTATCATCATTGCTTCTTCGATAATTTCTCCGTCTGTAAATGCCTTCTTTTTCTTGATCGAGAAATGCGTAGCTCTAAAAGAGGCTTTGGTTGCTTTTTTTGACTTTTTCACCAGCCTTGTGAGAAAAAAATCCTATCGCCTACCCAAAGCTGTCTTTAGCTCAAGAGCTTTTTCTACCCATAGTGCGCTTCCAGGTGGGTAGTTAGCTGATTCGTAGTAAAATCTCTCCACATTGTGCCACTTTGCCGTTGCCACAGTCGCTCCGTAAACAAAACACGCGCAGGTTTCTTTCGCAATCGTACAAAAGAACTCCGACTCTCATTCGTTGTGAAAGTGATAAGTTCTCCTTTCTCTGCCATGTTTTTGGGGTAAATAAAACCCTGCGTTTAGCTCCAATCTTTGCTGCGCCCGCTACCATAATCTCCACGATATATTGTGTATTGAGACACGCACAATACTGACATTCGAACTGGAGTACGTCAGAGTTCACCTCAAACAGGGGTCATCATCACGGTGTTACAATAAACTTATCTAAATTTCATGTATAAGAAATATATTTTTAAAATATTGTCATATATATATATATATATATATATATATATATATATATATATATATATATATATATATATATATATATATATATATATATATATATATATATATATGATTTTTTTCATTTAATATCTGAACGTCAAAGGAAATTCGTTCCACGTGACGAAACTTGACTGGCAATAATTGATTATTCAAAGGAACGTTACTTACGGCATGATTAGCTGTCTTAACAATCAAAAATTCTACAGAGAAGATTTAGGAAACAGTCGATTCTGATTGGTTAATATTGATTTATGGGCGTAACTCTGTAAGGAATGAATAGTTTTGCTTTGGAGAAATTATTCAGTCCTCAATCTTTCTTGCGATAGGTTAGGAGGTCGACTCCGGGAAACGTGAAAGTACGTCTCTCGTGATTGCAGTAAGGCGTGAGAGTTGTCTCAGAAAATAGACAAACTCTACATTTGAGGTTCGTTGGAAACGAATACGAAACGGCAAGAGGTACGCAATCTTAGTTTCCCGATTTTAATATGCTATTTCATTTGTTGATTTACTTGCAAATGTATTGATGTTATGATATGTATGTATGATTTAATTTTGCAGGGTTTTAGTGAAATGTTAGTCATGACGTTTTATTCTTCGATTTTCTAATTATCAATTCATTTGGAGAATTGACAAGGTTGCATGTAATTGAATATTTGATACATAGGAGTGCTTTGGAATTTTTAAGAATTAAACCTAATAAATGATGGGTAATGTTTCGTAGATTTATGAACTAAATCACTGTCTAGTATGACATGTATTGAGTGTATATTCATATATTAGATTGTAATATTTAATTGATCAAGTAAACTATTTTAGAGTAGTTAGATTTGAGGGGCTAAGCCATATGTAATTTAACACTACTAGATAGTTTAATGTAAGAAGTCAAGGGGTGTTAAATACGGGCACACACGTGTTAGCCGTGGAGTGGAATTTAATGATTAGCGTGACCCGAATTAAGGTCAGGACATGCAATGACCATCTATGCAAACATAGAAATTAGTGAAAGTGAGAGCAAAAGAATTTATGCCTTTTGTTTTCGGAGCCGAATTAATGTAAAAATATAGATATACTTGGAAATCTGACATAT